GGTTGGAGGCCATTGCTATTGGGTAGGGGCCATCGCTCTTAGGTTGGTGGCCATCGCTCTTGGGTTGGAGGCCATCGCTCTTAGGTTGGAGGCCATTGCTATTGGGTAGGGGCCATCGCTCTTAGGTTGGAGGCCCTCGCTCTTAGGTTGGAGGCCATCGCTCTTAGGTTGGAGGCCATTGCTATTGGGTAGGGGCCATCGCTCTTAGGTTGGAGGCCATTGCTATTGGGTAGGGGCCATCGCTCTTAGGTTGGAGGCCATCGCTCTTAGGTTGGAGGCCATCGCTCTTAGGTTGGAGGCCATTGCTATTGGGTACGGGCCAGCGCTCTTAGGTTGGAGGCCATTGCTATTGGGTAGGGGCCATCGGGCCATCGCTCTTAGGTTGGAGGCCATCGCTCTTAGGTTGGAGGCCATCGCTCTTAGGTTGGAGACCATTGCTATTGGGTAGTGGCCATCGCTCTTAGGTTGGAGGCCATCGCTCTTAGGTTGGAGGCCATCGCTCTTAGGTTGGAGGCCATTGCTATTGGGTAGGGGCCATCGCTCTTAGGTTGGAGGCCATCACTCTTGGGTTGGAGACCATCGCTCTTAGGTTCCAGGCCATCGTTTCTAGGTTGGAGGCCATCGCTTCTAGGTTTTGTTTTGGGCATTTTATTGCGAACGGGGTGTGTTCCGGCCGCTACCTCTCCGAGTCCGCCCAGGTCTCGCGTGCTGTTGGGAAGACGGTATACCACACAACAGCCCGGAGGTCCCGGTGTTCTCACTTCAAATTGGGCGCGACAGATTCTGATGGAGGGGAAAAGAGCTCTTTGGTGTGTTCCGTGCGAAACTGCGCAAGGTTTGCTGTTGATACTTCTCAAGCGTATGAGTTTCTTGAACCCAGCCCTCCATTGGTACCAAGGACAACTTTACTCGCAGATCAGATCAGTTTATGTAATGTTACCCCCTCTTGCACAGCAAAAGAGCTTCAGTTAGCGGTTTTCATCAACAAGGCCACTGGGACTGTATGTTCCGGTTTCTGTTCGATACCGGTACCTTTTGGGGGGGGGTCACAAAGTGGCGTGCTCTCCCAGGGACTGTGAGGACGGACAGTTACTGAGAAGGACAACACCGAAGGCTTGAAGGATCCTAAATGATGAGTGATGAGTTGCTAGAATGGGGCGACGAGGTTGGATAGGGTTGGAAAACGACTGACATGTTTGGGACTGCATGACTGCATGTAGAGAGCAAGAACAGATTGAACAAAGGAGTTTCAAGACATGCTGGTCTCCATGCTGCCATGCTCCAGCAAAGCTCCATATCTTTGCCTGGATTCATCACCATATTGCCATAATAGTGTTTTCGAGCTGCAGATGCAGCTGCAGGTGCCTCGAAACATAACATCCTTGTGCGGGGTTGCAGAATCGAAATCCCACCCCCGGACATTCACAGACGCTTTCCATCAGATGGGTCAAGCGACTGTTCGAAAAGGTTTGCTCAGCAGTTCTGGTGGCTGAGGTCCCAGAATCTTCCGCGGATTCTTCGGAAGAAGCTGTATAATATATTATAATTAATAGTTTAAGCTATAACTTGTTCTCTGTGATGTTTCTGTTCCGGGTCAGCTGCCCAATCCACGCGTCAGCCGGATCGTTTGGACCGTCCGGATCCTCCGGGGGAGACGGCACTTAGGTGGGCGGCGATCGCCTTGGTGGCGGCCGCCGGGGAACCTCCGGGGAACGGGGCGGTGTGACAGGTGGCGAAAGGTTGCCCAAAAAGGGGTTGAACGGCGTTGAAGGGGCTGGTTTTCAGGGAAGTTCTGATGAACGATGATGATGGCAAAGCAATAGAAAGGCATATATATCATACGTGTATACGGTATATAAATATGGTCAGTCTGTTCAACTTCATCCTATTGCGTTTGTAGTATAAGTGCCATGTACAAGCTGGAGCCCCAGTATAAAGCTTGCGGCTTGATTCTTGCAGCATTTCAGCTGAACGAATGCTGGCAAAATTATCATTGGCACCGGAATAGACTTCCAAGGACATTCCCCCACAAAGCAAACCTCAGTGAAAGCGAAAATCATGGATACCTTCACTTTTTTGCAGCTTTTCCAGTTTCATTATGGCCTCAGCTGGAGGTCGTGTAGTTTGTTGGTTGCCCCATGCAAGTGCAAAAGTAGTACACTAGACAGCAATCACATACCGGGAGAGAGAGAGAGCGGGGGAGGAGGAAGGAAGAAAAGAGAGAAACAGAGAGAGAGAGAGAGAGAGAAAGAGAGAGAAAGAGAGAGAGAGAGAGTTAATATGTGTTGTAGCTGGAGGACCTGGCTATTCACCGAGATTCATTTGCAGACTGCATGGCTAGCTGATGGCTAGCTGATGGCGAACGAGCATGCGGATGAGCATGCGGATGAGGGCGAGGACTGCTTGGATGTCTTCGTCGAAGGTTATTCGTTCCATACCAAACATCCCGGCACCCACGGGTAGCTTTAGAGGGTATATAAACAATAATATCTCAGACAATTACCCAGTGCAATGTGCAAATGGACAAATTCGGGTCTAGATGGACCAAAAGGTTCATCGATTCTAACAAGGAGCCCCCGGAGCGTCTTGTGTTCCTGCCTCGGCTGTGGAAACCACCACCCCCATCGCCGTCACCGTCTCGTCACCACTCTCCTGCGAGTGACTCCCAGTCGATCTTGCGAAGCTTCGGGGAGGCTAAGATGGTGGATCTCGAGCTGGTAGGCATCAACGGCGAGAGCTTCCCTGTCCATGTGCCACTCTGGTCGCGAGGCTACGAGATCCGACGCATGGTCAGTGACCGAACCATGGCCAAGCCAGGTGGGGCACAAGAGTTCGGTGGCAGAACTTGGACTTACTTAGTCTCTCTATATATATATATTATACCCTATATAGAAATCAAAGGACAGACGTTTTAGATATGTTTAGCTCCACCCAAATCAAGGACATTCCTTTTTCGGATCACCTAATGACCTATATATAATGCCTAAAGACCCGTCAAAAGAATTGCCCACTCGATTGATATATTCGATATATTGAGCCCCTATCCGCTGAAGTGAAGCGTTGAAGTCCCAGCGTCTAATTGGATCCACTGGGCCATGCGAAGCAACTTGACGTCTCGACTGGGCGTCGAACAGTTATGACAAACACCAGTCTCAGACTGAGCGTCGTGTCATCGCACCGTCCATGTCGGCACCGATGTTGGGAACCTCCACGGTCACGCGATGGGAACGGTCTGCCACGGTGATGGACACGGAGGTGCCTCGATCTCTTTGTTGCATCAGAAGTTCGAGCTATCTATGGCAAAGAGCTTGCAGGCTGTGATTAATCTGGAATGGATTTCTGGGTCCGACTGATTGGGGATGATCGAGGAGGATGGAAGAGTAGGAGGAGGATTATGACTTATGGTCACGAATCATACTGATCTTGTCATTGAGATCTTGGCATAGTTTGGCACGACATATGATAAATGAGTATAAATGAACTGGTCGCTTTCTTAAGTCCTTTGGAATTGGTCGTTCCATACCGGTTGCTACACCATTGAACAAATGGTCATGATGTGGGTCGGAGTTTCTTCTATACCATTGTTTTGGATATGTCCGATGCCAGTCTACTATCCCCAGGGCTCCTGTCCCATATCCTCAGTTTGGTTAGACACCCCCAAACCACCCACCTCTGGCCCACCTTCGTTTCACGGAGGTAGCACCGGAGCCCTATAGGCTATACGTATTCTATACGTCTTCTTCGCCAAAGAGAGCTGCAACATATCACTGAGAACAGCACCCCAACCCGCCCGGTCGGGCGTCCGCTCCGCTCCGGTGGGCGTCTGATCCTGTATACGAGCCAATATGAAAAGATGAACATGACCGTATGAACATATATGAATGATTCTACCTGCTAGAGACATAGGATTTAGTGGAAGTACCTGAAGACCAGATCAGCCCTAAAGCCCCATCAGCCAGGAAAGCATGTTACAGTACAAGAAACAGTGTGGGTTTCTTTGCCTGATCTATAGCTGGGTGGTCCAGGTTAATGCTGGGAAAATCCATGGCATGGCGACGGTGTGCATGGGAACATTGCAACCTCCACTCATTTGGGTGGTGTATCACCGAGAATCACCCACGGATGTTGGAACCAACTCCGGCCCTGGAAAAAAGGGGGGGCCGGAGGCGTTTTGAAGGGTGGAGGGTACTGTAACTGACCAATCAGGTAAGTTGTATCACTGACTACAGCATAGGTACTCAGAGGTCAGTGGAGGGCCCTCAATGCATGCATGATTGGAAATATGTTTAATCATGTTTATTTGTTAATTATGTTTATTCTTTTTGGGAGACCACTCTGAGTGTGATCTAGCCATTTGTCCCTACAGGAAATGGCTTGCAATGAATGTACAAAGGTTTTTGAGTTTGCTCCTAGAGCTTGATCGGCAAGTCGTGATCATGTGCAGGAGCAAAGCATTCCTTTGGGAGCTAACATCTCCTACTTGTTCCTCCCAACCAACGTGTGGAGAGCTTAGTTGACTGAGGGCCACAGGAGTGCTTTTCTTAGGGACCAAGTGAAAGGCTGGGTATTTAATTGGCCAGGTACGTTTTGTTTTTGGCGAATGCGTAGCCAAGGGTTTTCGTTTAACTCTGGGGGGTCTGGGGGTTAGACTCTTGTTCGCAACCTTTGCGGCCTTTCTTTTGGAGAAGGTTTTGGATGGAACCATGACGTGTAAGTGTAAGATTCGAAGTAGCAAGGAAACGTATGGAAACGCAACGGGATGAGTTTGCTGCGCAGGTGCAGTGTTTTGTGAGATCGTAAGTTTCTTCGCTGTGAGATTGGGATTGGCGTTTAGAGGGTGGTATGTTTGACGTGTTGGATGTCGCTGTGACATTGGGACTTGCGTTTCAGGCTGTTGCTTCGAAGATGTGCTTTCGTGACAGGCAACAGCTAAAGTGGTTTTCGTGAACGCGTCGAAAACACTCCAAACGTCGCGTGGTGCGGTGCAAGTTTTGCTGAAACATTGGCATGATTGAACATGTCATGCCGTCACTTTTCGTGGCAGGTGCAATACTTTCTGTGTTGGAGGTGTCGAAGTTGAGTTTTTGTGGGAGGCGCAGGGGATTGTGAGCTTGCGACGTTTGGTGGAAGTGACTGTTGCTGTGACATTGGGATTGGTGTGTTGGCGGGTGTGGCATTGAGGGGCTGGGACTGCGAAACTGCTTGGCAGGGCTGCTGGATGTGGTCGCTTTTATGAGACTTCCCGCTTCATTGTTGAAGGAAGTCTCGTACCAAGCGCTCGTTTTGGAGACTTGACGTGTGAGTGTTCCACAAGAGATCACAAGAGTGTCTTGTGTCTTACAATACAAGAGTGTCCTACAAGAGTTTTCCACAAGAATGTCCCACAAGAGTGTTCTACAAGAGTGTCCCTGCAAGTGTGTCCTACAAGAAAGTCCCACAAGAGCACCGCCTACAAGAGTGTCTTCCAAGAGTGTCAAACAATGTTTGGCCACTTGTTTTCGAGTGCCTGTGCGCATTTGGGTTCGTGGCCGCCATCTTGTTTTCAGGAGGGATCACAAAGTAAACATCAAATATGATATAATATTCCACCCACCTGGACGCTACAATAACTGAGAATCACACTCAACTGCCTGGACATTTCGCTGACCAAACCTTCGAAACACATGTAAGTAAGATCATAATCTGGTGATTGTTGGTGAACCTCCTGATGTTAAGCCACTGTGCACTTCGCATGTCACTTGGTGACCAGCCAGCCCTGACAAGTCTGGATCGCAATTTGGTTGTTGTGCTTGGAATTCTGGGAACTGTGTATTTCCCTGCATCCTCGCATCCTTTTCAGAAGGAGGGCTGTGGATTCGTTTTTTTCCACACGTTTTTGCCTCACATCTTTGCGGCGGTGTTCGAATTCGGCCTGACCGGAAGTCCTCTGAGCGTCCGTCGGTTTCTGCAGGTTCTCCGCTTGGAAGTTCTTGAACGGTTTCATGGTCGATGAGCGGGAGTGCGCCTTGGAAGGTGTCACTCAGATTGAAGGCGCCACCGACGCCGTGATCTTCCCCAAGTCCTTAGCGAAGTTGACCATCCGTCAGGACGTACCTTGACGGACGCGAGAAAGAAAAAACAAATCTTAATATCTACTATTACTATATAATTATGTGTCTGTCCTGAAATTGAGGCTTTTGATATCCAAACTCTGAAAGGTGCAAGATGTGGCAGTTTTGGGAGAAGGCAGGTTGATGCTGAAATCCTTGACGTTTTTTTTTTGAAATTCGGTAATACGGTGTTAGCTCAGGGTTTGCGCAGATTTCCGTGGTTTGCCTTAGTACTAGTCTGTATACTAGCTATTATACTGAGAGCCAATGAGTTAGGACTTTCAGAACATCACGTGGAAATGGACAACTCCTATCTCATGAGGGAAAAGCAGTTTTGACCATTGTGCGGGTAGCTAACTCCTGTCTCATCATGGTGTGCGTCGATTTTGTGAGGCATTTTATGTGTTTCTTTTTAATCATTTCTGGGCTATGCCAGCAGGTGGTGACACATGAGATAGGACTTAGCCCATACATGGACATAGAGAATGGGGTGAATCGTTGTCAGGCTGGAGGCGCAACCTCATGAGATAGGACCTATGCATGGAGTAAGAACACTGCATCCCATCCCATGCGCGGTTCAAAATTGAGCCGTTTTTGGCTCACATCAACCCTGGTTGTGGCAAGTTCTGGCGACAGCTGTGTCCCTGGCCTGTTTGTTTCTATGTGCTCTTTTTGCGTTTGTTGGCAAACTATGTATAATGTATGTGGAATGCGCAGTTGCATGAACTCAGCCAGGTTGCGCTTTGAAGAAACGTGTGTAAGTCCTATCACATGAGCAGGTGTACTATATATTATATATGTATACATGAAAAAAATGTACATATAGGATGTATATTACATTGACAAGATTAGAACCCAGCTGAGTTAGGAGTTGGGGCCAGAAAATGTTTGTTCCCTCGAAAGTAGAGGTTCTGCCTCGCTCCGACCACGGCCAGGATTCATCAACTGCTGTGTCGCTAGGGGCAATGGAGGTGTGAACCCTAAGCTCAGCTCATGTTGCCAGGAAGGTCATATTTATATATGCACATATGAGAAGGAGGAGCGCCAGGCGAAACACAAGTCCTATCTCATGTGCCAGGGGTGATACTCATTTGTACGCGTGAT